TGCTAAAGTTGTTCCGAAAATCTTCTCTAAGATTGAACGAATTTAATACCGTGATTAGGCTTTTAGCTTACCGTGACTCCACTTCATTAACCACTCAGCTACATTGTCATGCCAAGATTTCTTCGACAGAAGCCACTAATGTTTGAGCAAGTCCAATAAGAGGTGAAACACCATTAGGGAAAAAAAGCTGATTAAACCCATGAAAAATGCTAATTTAGTAATAACTCTTATCAATTAATCTTAAAAACTGGACATATGAACCATCCGTTCTGACACACCGGAATCAATACGTCTGTAGTAAAAAAACCTGATTTACAGTAAAAATTGCAAGATTCGCCTTGAAAGAGCTAATTGATATCAAAGTCGTTTCGGGAAGCTAACAAAAACCATAGCTAACTGAAATAAACAAAGAAATAATTATAACAGCATGAATGTACATATATCTAATTATATTTTAATTATATTGCTGAATAGATAACAATTCATAATTTGCATTTTTGATTAATATGATTCAAGAATTGTTAGAGTCTCAACCTCGGTGTGAAGCCTTATCAACTTGAAATTAGCCCATCATGCATATTCTGTATGTTTTGTAATGAACTGGCATCAGAAGTCAGACACTAGGGCGTACTCACCGTTTGATATAAGTTCAAAGCAGAGGTATGAACTTACAAATTCCTCCGGCCAACGCAGACAAAGATTTCTACAATATGATAAGGTTAATAATATTCAGAGTGTTGAGCTCTAGCTGATTAAATAAGTGATACTAAAAATCGTAGTAAGTAGGCGATATCATTTATTTATCCCTGAATGAACGAAACTGCTAATGGTGTGTTCACGAGTGCGGAGATTTTACACTATTTCGACGCAGCGGTACAGAAATGCTTCTTCTTTTAATTATAATCTCAGCTTCACATTCCTACAATTATGACAAGGTATTTTCACATTATTGTTTATTTGCATAGGAAATAATTGTCATGCTGTTTATCACACAAGTGAACACGCTGCGATTCATTAACTGATGGGCAAGCACTGAATCACTGATTTTTTCTTCCCAACATGTTTGATCTCAGAAATGCAAGGATAAGTAAGTAAGTGAAGTTGATGATGAATTGTAGACATGTTAAATTGTTAGATCTAGTAATCACTGAAATTATTGTTTAAATACAAAAGACCGCTTGACTTTTCAATTGACTTACACTACTCCGCCACGAAAACAACAAAGCAACTCCAGTGATCAGAATAGCCATCGAAAAGGAAAGCAAGACTGTGAATACAGCTGGATTATATCATCTGATAAAAAGATGCATTCATCAAAATAATCCGCTTCTCCAGCGGAATTACACGAGTTTCATCAAACATAAAATTATACAAAATTTAAGTCAGTTCATTTGAAGGTTACTTGTCGGTAGACATTTGTAGCCAAAAAAGGAATACGCAAACAGTAATCGTGTATTTTGAATGACTGATGCCGAAATGCCGTATTTTCCTGGTAGTCTACATGATCATGTATTGATTGTTATGTAAAAAAGCCTCACAACATGGTAAACTTCTTTAACGTTCATATAACAGGATTAAAGTTGTTTTTCCTCATCCTCTGTGTTACTTCTTCAGAGTCTGTCATTTAGGTCAAAAGTTTATCCCTTTTCTCCTCCTTACCTTATTTGATGTGTTTGAAATCTACAGGACTTCAGAGGTCTGTGGTGGACCTTTTCACTCTATTAGCTTAGTTACCCAAATTCAAGTAGAAAATAAAATACCAAATGAGTTTAGTTACGGGAAGAATGTATTAAAGTTTGATTACTTGAGTTTACAAAGATCCAAATTCCACAATAAACGTTATAGACTCCAGGTGCTGCGGAAAGACTGCTCCAGTAGTAATTCTCCAATGTTAACGTTGCCGGAGGTCGACCAAAGTACGTAGGAAGAAACTACGGTGCTCCTGCAAAAATCAGAGATAGAAAGCAGGTGATTAGGATTGATCGACGGCAGTTGAGATGGTGGAGAAGACGGAGAGTCGAAGGCACAACTATATATTTATTCAAAACCCGAGGTAAAGTTAAAGTACAGAGTTTCTGGTTAAAACAAAGTGGTGTACAATATGTTCATTATTTACATAGTAGTAAAATTTGGATAAGTTTCTTTTTGAGGACTCCACAGGTCGATCTTGTTTTATATGTGAATGAAAACCCCTTCCAAGAACTTCTAAAATGTCAAAACTTATCCTTTTGTAGTTTGTATATAGTATGCCTTACTAGAGCTGATCTTTTTTCTAGACTTTTTAATTCTTCCTTATTTATAGTTGGACATTTCGTGCAAAGTTTATGTTCATTCATTGTGACTTTCTCCTGTCTCACATTCTGAACACTTTATCCTATTAACACAATTACTTTGTGACATTTTTAGGAACCATATATTTGACATTCACCAAAGCGCCGCCATATATGCGCAACAATCAATTTTATTTCACTGTTTCCCCGCTGACAAAGATGGGCAATAGTTATCGTTTGTCGTCTCTTTGTCTTTGTCAACGTCACCTGACAATTTCATATTGATGTGTAGGTCTTCTGGTTTATGTTATTTTAACATGATTCATATACAGAGTCCAGACGTTCTGAACTCTTCTTATCAGCTGAAAGTGTTCCGCTCATTCCGTGTCAGTTCGTTGATGGTTAGTTTTCAAATCACCGTATTTTGCTGTATAACACTTGAGTTGAAGTCTACATGCAACAATTCCAAAGTCTTTGAATATGTTCTCGACGATATCTGAACCTTCATGCATTTCTCTTTTGGACCTTCTGTTCTGCAGACCTCCTTCGTGTTTTACAACAGTTCAGAACATCTGGTATTTATGTGTATGTTTGACAAACATTCTTTTTTGGAGTATAATGACACCGACTGCTTCGGTGGCAGAGCGTTTGAATGCTCGCCGACCATGCATGTGGTCCGGAGTCCACTCCCCGTCCAGCAAACTCCCTTGATTCGCTAAGCTGGTGATATAACTTCTAAAGAGAGAATATTGGGTATGGGGCTAGCATTTCTATCACGAGAACGTGAACATCACTGTTACCGACACTTCAAACCACAGGCTTGATGTCCTATATTCTGCTGGGAACTTAAGAGAATGAAGAAAACAACGACATGGAGTGATTAACGTCATCTCTGAAACAAAACTCTGCATCAGCGTTTCAGTAGACTGTTGATTTTGACTTTATTTAGATTAGGACATAAAAATGATGGGTTCAATGTAAAAGCATCATCTGAATCGTGAAGATCAGTTTACCGTGTGTAATGCTGAAGTCATAATCCCATATATCTTAGGCCTAATGAAGAAGGTCAGTATCGACTTCGTCATAAAATAATAAAATTTTCGACAGCGTCGATCGTGAAGTAATTTTGAAACTACTCGAGTGCTACGGCGTACCCCAAATATTCATGAACCTTATTCAACAGCCGTAAGACAACACCACATGTCAAGTCATCCGCAACGGAAAACTCAATCAGGCGTTTCGAGTAAACACAGGAGTCAGACAAGGGTGCTTATTATCACCAATGATATTCCAAATTGTGGTGGACTGACTGGTTTATGCGTCAGACTGTGGGGAACGAGAAGACAGGCATATCCTGGACCGGCCGACGTGAAGAACCTAGAAGACCTGAATTTCGCGTGTGGATGATTTATGATTGATGTCACACACAATCAAAGACATACAAGCGAAAACCGACAAACTGGTCGAAGCAGCAAAGACAGGACTCCAGGTAGACATCGACAAGACAAAGGTTATGAAAATAACCAACCAACAACAGCAACAACATCCAACGTAAATCACCATCAACGGGAGGGATTCGAAAAAGGGGACTTCATTCACTTATCTAGGGAGCATTGTCTCAACCACAGGCAGTCGGAACGGACGAGAATGTCAAATCCAGCGAGAATCGGGAAGGCGAGAAACACATTTTCAAACCTGAAATCAATCTGCAAATCTTCATCAATCAGCCAGCATCAACAACAAAATTCGATGGGATTTTCAATACAAACGGCAGGTCAGTCAGTTCTTCTATACGGATCAGAAACTTGGCGGACGGGTCACAAAGAATATTTCCAACAGGCTATTGTAGACTTTTATCAACAAGTAACTATCTTCGCTGGATCTATACTCAAGATCATATGGCCGGGCCGGAAAGAATCATCAACAAGGAACTATGGAAACAAACAAACCAAACACTTATCGTCAACCAACAAATATGCAGGAGAAAGTGGAGATGGATTGAACATTCGCTGAGGAGGCCGCTGGGTGACATCGCGCGCGCGTCAGGCCATTGCTTGAGTGGAACCTCAAAGGGAAGAGGCGAATGGGGCGTACACGGGTGACATGGAGAAGGTCGTGTGAAGATTTGAGGAGTTGAAAGAGTATGGACTAAGATGGATGCAGGTGAAAAGTGCAGCATAAGGAAGACAGAAGTGGCAAGTGGAGACGTGCAGTTGAAGCCCTATGTTCCACTAGGAACCCAAGGGAGCAGTAATAATAATAAAATAACCATACGGCACTAGGTTTATTTGAGATGCTTTAATTGCCTTAGGCAATATCTTCCACGAATACTTCAATTCAACTTGATATTATCTAACTGAGCTACAAATCTTCTCCATCGTATCTAACCTCAAGTATATTTCATTTCAGATGTAACTGGTAGCCACCTGGGACTTGAATATGGTAAAAAGTGTCGAATCGCTTATGGCATATGCATAAAAGTTTTATACGAATTGTATAAATGTTAAACATGAAAATAGGTAGTGTAGGGCTATCACAACTTGAATCACAACAAGTGCAACCACTATAATATTAAATCGATGAATCATAAGATTTACTCTAAAAGAAATAATTCCTTTAGTCCAGTCGAACATAAATATAAACAATGATAATATCGTAGTCCTCTATCGCGATCAAAGTGCATGTTTTTCCGTCAACAATATAATATATAAATATATTATATTGAATAATATGTATAATATTAAAGTCTATTTGCACATTCATTGTAATCATAAGTTTGAAAACGAGACAGGTAAGAGATGATCGATAGAACTATTACTGTTTTCATCATGCATTTCAAATTGGCTGATATCTGCATTCGTAAATACTTTAAGGATAGTCTAAACAGGTGAAATCAGGCTGTATAAACCGTGATTATGCATTCCTGTCGACGTCATTTATGTTTCTTACATGTTTCAGAAGATATATAGTTTGACAATGAGGAGAAAACATGATGGCTGTACCGAAGTACAAAAATAAAAACACTTCTGCTAGTAACTACAAACGTTTTCTCAGTAAGAAAGATATCACTGCATGATAAATACAGCAAAAAGGCATCTTCCAAAGCCTTTGATAAAAAAATTTTGAAGGGCCTGACATGTCAACATTCTCCCTAATGTCAACTGAACGCACTGTTCTTCTGACTAGATTATCAACGAATTCGAAGGGCTGTAAAGCGACTACTGAAAAATGATTTCCTTAACCGTTGTCTATCATATGACATACAACTATTAGCCTTAGAATTTCATTTCTAGCAGTTACATGGAAAATTTGATTTCATAATTTACACCTGTGTGGACATATATCACATTCCATTTTCTAATAATTTACTGTGTATTATTCGTTCGCCATGGAGATACCGTATTTCCTTCAAAATTCTGTAGACTACAAAATGTCAAGTAAAACTATGAGATCGCACATTTTGAAAAAGTCAAGTTTTGGTCTACGACCAGGCAGCTTCCTGCACTTATTCATTTGGGTAGGAAAACAGTTATTTCTTCTGAAACCTTTTTACATAGATGCTGACTGATACCTTCCTAATGCTTTTAATAACAGCGGGAATGCTTGCCATGGTGAACGAAATGTAAGACTGAAATCACTACTATGGTGAGACCATTGTTTTTCGTTTCATAGAAAAGGCCTATGTGACTGGATAACAAAGAATAAATGGATCTCAATTCTTTTGACGTAAGTTAACTTTAGGATGCTAACACCTTATGTTTTTTATGTGGTTCTTTTACGTACACCAACTTTTTGTCGAATGTAGGATAAGTTGACCGTCAGTAGACAGCAGATTCAATGAAACTAGAGATGTCTGAATATATCTACTTTCTTGATCACACACACTCACTTTATTTTACAATCTACTCGCTAACTATAATTATTGAGAATAACTGTTGATTAGGAATTATTGATCGTTCTTCTTATTCCTGCGTTACACTATAACTTCATCAGATATGATTCACTACACACCACAATGAAGCACAATACAAGTATAACAATAATGAAATGAATATATTTCAATACTTTGTATACAGAAAGAACAATAGCTTTTTCAGAAGAACATGTTGTTGTTATATGAGTTGTTTATCTTCTCATTATCTGCTTACTGCTTAAATAAATTATCAAGCTTATGTCCCGAAAATGTTTTTAACATTCTTGCAAATTTAACAAGATATCAGTCGACAGAAGGTTCCAGAATCGGTTTACAGTGCTCAGAAAATTACGCTTATATAGCTATAACATAGAAAGTTCAATATAAAAAAGTATATGTATGCGTGGTGTGCGTCGGTGGCACAGCGGTTATAGACACCGTATTATTGAATACGATATAGTTATATACCTCGATAGGCATTACTCCTGATTCCTTTGTCAGGAAGCAATATGACGAGTTTTTCATTATTTCTGAGAGCTTTTAATACTCTCTGATGCTCTACGGAAAGGATTTGGTAATATATGGTGTTGAAATGGGGTATTGATTTGTAACGTCAATCAGCTTACATTCGAATCAGCTCCTCTTGTCCTCATCAACTGCAGTAAGTTCATCCAGTTAGTAGAAGAAGTATTCGAATTAAAATGCGACATAGCTTCTTTTGAAAAAGTTACACAGGATATGTAAGTTTAATCCAAGGGAAGGCAGTTCCATTTCAATGTAATCACAGGTAAACTCTTCAGGATCATCTGTGCAGACGTCGTACAACTTCTTCTTTTTTGAGGATTTCGGCATAGGTTTATCAAACATCGCTCACGTTAAAGTTACTGAATAAAACTTTTATATTTGATACTTCAAATTTTATTCAAATTATTGATTGATACATCGAAGGATCGGGCTTCTGTTCTAAATTCTGTTGATTCAATAAGCGATTCTTATTCCATCGAATATTTATGAGAGAGGGAGGAAATTAGCAAGTTCATAGTGACTTGTCAATTCTCTAAGTATCCTGCAGAGAATTACTACCAGATGATTCAGTGATTTGTAAGATACTAGGAGAGGATGATTATTCAGAAACGTCATAATTAATAAACAGTTGCTATAACAATCACTTCTCGACAACCACTCCTTGCTAATAACATGATTTTGTTTTCGCTCTCATATGGATATTGTGAGCACCGCATTAAATCAACCAAGCAGTTTGTGTTACTTTTCAGACTACTTGCAGCACTTCCAATGTTCATCCTCGCACTGCTCAAAATACTTAAAATTGGCCGTCATGTTGATCATTTTCTGATAGGATTCGGTGTAAGTTTTCATGAGTCATTGTTACCCCAAGTTACCTGAATGAGGATTTTATAATTAAAGCTGAATTGACTTTTGTTTGCTTCAGACAAACATACAGTTGATATCCATTTTTGTCCCTCTTGTAGTGCATTTACCACGAATTTTTGTATAATTTTTAATTATCTGAGAAAATCACAAATTAGAATTGGTGTCGGATGATGAAATGCATAGCTGATGCATGTTTCTAGCTGTAAAGGGTTGTGTATTTCACCACTATCAACAGAAATAATAATCGCTGTATGATTTTTGATAAGACTTGTATTTGAATGTTAACACACAGAGCAAATCATGAAGCCACATACAGTTAACTCACAGACAAATCAGTAAACTGAAATGTGGACAAATCATTGTTAACATTTTTCAGTGTTCTTATGGCAGTTCTTACGACGTCAGTTGATCACGTATCGATGGAACAGAAGACGCTCTCGATGTTTACAAGTTTCTTTTTACCAGGTATGCACTAAATCAGACCCTCAATAGATTATGCCATTCACGTTTGTGTTGATGACACCTACATCGCCGAAATTCCTGGTTCACTCATGCCAGCTAAATTAAAAAAAATTTCTTCCTCTTAAGTAGCCATAATATTTTATTCCCCTGTCAAATCTTTTACCGCTATAGTGTAACCGATTAGTAGCTCTTATAGTTGTCAGAATTCTAAGCAGCTTGGAATTATCAAAGTACGTTTAATGTCACAATAGTTTGTCTTTGTAAACAAGCAGGCGGGAGTTCCTGAAATGATGAACTTGTAATAAGTCAGTCGAAGAAATCTACAAATCTGAGTTGCATTGATATATGCTGCATTGCAATAAATAAATAACCAATATAATGCCCAAATGTTTTTCTAGTTCCTATTATGTTCCATGGGATTCGCAACTATGTACCGTGGTTTCAACATCTTCATTGCTTCAATATCCTTCGGTGTGACGATAGCACTAACTACATTTTTGATCGTTTCGGCTTTATACCTGAGAAATTCATCCACTACTCTGACTATTACACTATTCACACTCGTGTGCATTTCGGTGATCATTGGAGTCATTGTGTACGTTGTTCAAATCATCCAACATGAACCTCAGGTAAGATTTGAATAATCGGATTATATCATAGCCTCACAATGTATCATTCGTATTAACACTACCTGACTGATGACTGTTGATTTTAATAATGCTACATATGGAAAACAAAGACGCGGATTCCATGTATTTAGGAGGTCATACCTACATGGGTATAAACCATTTCATAAGATTAGAGAAGATGAATCCTGAGGAAATTGTCGTAAACTGGACTATTGTTTCATTCCTGAAGACGTTAACTTGCTTCCTTTCAGTCCTCTTTTACGGTCCTTGAGAGTCGTCAAAATAAGTTCCACAGTATTTTGAATCTATCTGTCCACCTATCTAATACAATATTCCACCATATACTTGATAACATATGAAGGCGTTTATTCTATTGAAAATAAACTGACTGAATTCTCAGTCATGCACTATCAACAGTGTTAATTATATTTTATGAGGTTAGAGTACATCAGATGAATGTAAAGTAATATCTTCCAGGAATCATAGTAATGATAGCATAGGTGCAGCACATCCATCGGCGATTCTAGTAGTGGAGTGGAACTTCAGTGACAATGAATGAAAGACATTTCAGCTAACTAATACAAAATCCTGATATTTGTTTAAAGTTTAACAAGACAGTTTCTGATGTTGAATTTTTTCCGCATAATTTTAGCGGATTTACACAAATACCATTGCAGTTTGCTTCGGTATCGCTGTGGTTTCAGTAAGTTCCAATTCAATATCTGTGTAATCTGGAGTGAGCCAACTTATTATAATGATGTTGTAATGTTTCTATACCGATATCTTGTGTAAAATGTAGCGTTTGTTAATTCATCTTCTGCTGTTTAGGACGTTTGTTTTCAATGCACAGCAGCAAATATTGCTAGCGGAATGGGACTCGTTAGCTTTAAATCTTGACAATTTCCACACACACGCATAATTTAGTGATGATGTGTGATGTGAAGTATAAATTATTTTTCAAGAGTGCAGACCACTCAGAAATGTTACTATTCAACCGGAACCGCATTTTGAACCTCTTCCGTCAGACAATTGTAGAATATAGGCTTATCCTGGGTTTCAAAAGTCAGTTTAGTTTTATCGAATGCACTATTCGCCGTTTGACATCTACAAATTGATGAATCATATGATACACTGATTAAAATACTTTGTATAGGCAAACATGTCCCACTTAGTAGATATAATTCATTCATCGTTGTTTATTTTCCCACATTTCAGGCGGTTTTCTTGACAATGAACAAACTGCGGCTTTGCATCTCATACAAGAGTACTTATTGCACAATTATATTTCGAGCATTCTGTTTATGGTTGGAAATTATTGGACCGTTCACAGCTTTATACTCTACCTTCGAAAATGAGAATCTACCATGCCCACAAAACCTATTGACATTTGTGGGTGTATAAATATCTTTCAGTTGGAATATGATATTTTTTCCAGATAATAATTAATTAAAAGATGGATTCTGAACATGCTTTTTATCAAATACAGACTACGAAATGTTATAATTCAATATGAATTAGTTTCCAAGTGGGTGTTTAACTCATAAAGCACTTCTTAGATATCGTGTTCACTGAATGCCTATTCACAATTACAAAATTTCATTATTTAATTTTATCTGAGGCATTTAACATAAAATATGAGATAAAGGGGATTTGAATACCATTATTAGGGGATAGATTTGATCTAAAATGGTCTCATGAAGGGAAACATGAACAATTCTGCTGAAATCCAGACAGAGAATTCTTCTTCGAATTCTCAGCACTTAACTGAACAATTTTGAACAAAGTGATCAATTCTTTCCGAAGAAACTACTCTGGCAATTCAGAATTTTTGGCAGGCGCTTCCTGATTTCGGTTGTCTTGAGTTGAAGTTTGTTAATTCCAGTGAATCTTTATCGTGAAAAATCTTTTATGTCTCCTTCTTATTGAGTCGGTTACTGAAGGTTTCTGGGTTTTTAATCGCAAGACGAAGAAACAGCACTTTTGTGTATGTGCTGACTGATGTTCTTCTTGAATGCTGCTAAAATTTTTCTGCGTTCACTTGCTCTACTAAGACATCAGAAAATGGAATTTCCTTCTCTTCCTCATTCAATACGATGTGGTTGACTGTAACGTATGTCATTTTTGAATCATCCTGTCCAGCGATGAACATAGTTTATACGCCACACTTAGCAGCATTGTTCTGGTTGTTTAGGTGGTGTCGGTCGTACTCAGTGTATACCTCCTATCAAGTTTTCACCAGTGCCACTTTTATTCCTAAGTCTCCAAATGAAATTTTGTCTTCAATATTTGATTGAGTAATAAACATCTGTCACACTGTCTGTATTTTCATTCAGTCCTGGTAACTGCAATGTTAACAATAAATAAACGAAAAAAAGCAGTGTAATAGGCATCGCATGACTTCTTCTCCGATTAAAGGATAAACACTGATTACTGGACATTCTTAACATGACGTTTTCAAATAAGTCACGTTTACTAAAGAGGTTAGTGCATATGACAAACATATGACAAAGAATAACATCGAGCTGATTAATAAAATTAAACTGGTCAGAGAAGTGGCATTTGTTCCAACAAAATACCAGATGCAATATATTCACATTTGCATTGTCGAACTCGCTGATGCAGTTTTTATTGCACAGTTCTCACCGATTTCAAGATAAGAACAAAATGATACAATAGTCAATACATGTTGTTTCCGTCTCACTATTAATAAAGCTCACAGATTGATGGCAAACGTATGTTTGTACTTTGTTACTTTAGTGCATTCGTCGGGTTAGTCATGAGTAATTTTCCCATTTGTTGCTTCCAGGGATTTAATTTATTTGTGCTTATTTGAGACTCATCTGTAATACGAAACGATGGCATGCCAAGCAAACAAGGCAGCTTCGTTGATCATTTTACTACTAGATTTTAATTTATTGATGGAGTTTTAAATCAATCCAGTTATTGAAAAGCAACTTTCAAAAATAAACTAAGTGACCTTTTGTGTTCTAAAAAGAGATGGATTTGACTGAATTACTCTTCAGATATCGTGATAAGCAGAACCTATTGAATAGGTTCTGTTAGGCAACATTGTATGCTTTTTGTGCTTTACTTTACAAAGTGGAAGAAGTTTATTTGATAATTTGTTGGACTCTATCCTAGTAGATGAATAATCAGAATGCTTGCGTTTAACCTCTAGGTCTTCATTTCGATACTTGATGGAGAAATGAGTGCATCCCTTTAGGAATTTAGACTCAAATCAGGACGAAACTACCATCTAGTAGTTTCTGGTTTTCAGTGGCTCTCTATCTTAGGCTACATCATCATCAAACTTGAAATAATAATTTTTAGAAAGAAAAGAACACGAAGTTCAGCAAAGATATCTTTTAGGCGATTTCATTCTCAAAACCTATACAATCGCATTTATATAGATTAGATTGTCGAGAAGCCGGACCTGTGTGTTCAAAAGAAGTAAGTCCAATCTCTACATCTTTTGTAATTCATATCAAGTCGAAAATAACTATCATTTTTGATTTGCCTTTAAAATTATTTCTCCAGTTATCAAATATTAACTGTTTTCTAATCCTATGAAATCTTGTCTCTAAGCCCCTTGTAATCTATATTCGTACCTTCAAACTATCATATCAAGTTGAAAATTATTATCACCTTCGTCACAATGTGAAATTAAACAAACAGATATCGTGGAAGGTGCAGTCAAATGGGGACTTGATGAAGCTATGATGCGAATGTTTCACGCTGGGAGACATATGTTCTTCAGCATTATCAAGAGGTTTTTTCAACAATCAGGGAGAAATAGACAATTCAAACTGCATCAATCATTTTAAGTGTGTAAGCAAATAGATAAGTCATTCGTACAGCTAATTGTCTATTTTAATGTTGGAGGACTAACGGAAGTGGTTGAAAGCAGCTGAAGCCAGAGTA